CTGCGGCTGCGGCGGCGCCAGCCTGGCCTCCACCCTTCTCCGCCCCAGTCACGCGGCCGCTCATGAGCTCAACCACGCCCAAGCAGCCATGGGGTCTTGCCCATGCCCCGCCCCGCTTTCCTCATGGCAGACACCGGCAACCCCTTTGGCCTCACTCAGGCATCACTGTGTCAGGAAGGCCTTCCCTGACGCCTGCCTGGGACAGACCCCTCCTGACTCTGCCACCCACAGGGGCCATGCCATCTCACGTGGGGCCACAGTGCCCCTCCCTGCCTCATGCAGGACCTTCCCCCCCACGCTGAGTAGTGACTATGAGCTGAGGCCAGGGAGAAGCCTCGAACTGGAGCAGGAGCCCCTGCCTTCAGGAACAGCCAAGGAACACAGCCTCATGGGCCCCATGGAAGACGCTCCTGAGCAGTGAGGGGTGCCACCAACTGCCCGGCGGGCTGCGAGCCCACAGCGTGGGGCGCCGGTGCCCACTCACCTCAGGCAGACGCAGGACCTTGCAGTACTTCACTCCGTTCCGCAGCCTGGGGAGGGGGTGCGTGTGAGCCCGTGGTCAGCAGCGGCCAGCAGCGGCCAGCACGGTGGCATGGGGGGCAGCCCTCCTAGCCGGGCACTTCGAGGTCAGGTTGGGCTCGATGGGGACCCAGGGAACGTGTGGAGCCAGATGTTGGGGGTGGGAGGGACAGAAAGGCCGGACGCACCACTTACTTCTTACAGCGCTCACAGCTGTACATGTTGTCCCCTGGAACGGAAATGCGGGGCCAGGGTTAGCAGGGAAGAGCTGGGGAGGAGACAGTGCAGCCGTTCATGCTTAAGAGAGAGACCCAGGGGCCCGACCGTGGCATGGCGGCGAACGCTGCGCTCTGCGCACAGGTCTGGAAGCCTCGCTGCTGAGTACCCCAGGCTCACACGTGCCCATGACCCAGGACCCTCGGCCTGCAGTGGAGTGCTGCGTCGAGATCCTACTGGGGCTGCTGTCTCGCTCTCACTCACTTGCTCAAGGGAGAAATGAATAAACACCTGAGGTACTAAAGGGGACGAAAACCCTAACTGCACCCCAAGGACAGAGCCCATAAAAAAGGGGAGAAATGGATCTATTTGACCCAGAAACACTTAAAACTCCTACGTAGACATTACTAAAAATAAAACTGAGGCAAAAGGTAAAATAAGAGAGAAGTATGAGGACGTACTGTACACCCCATCAAATGACCAGAAACGTCGCCTCAGAGGCGCAAGAAACACAGGAAATCAAGAAAATCTCTCTCCCCCAAGGGGAAAGAACAGCCCTTCATCTCCACAGACAGTAAAATGGAACTCGTGGAAATGGCAGATAAAGAATTGAGGATAGGGAACCAGCAGTTAGTGTAATGGCTATGTCGCTGGACTCCCACGTAGTCGACTGCGGTTCACGTCCTGGACCCGGTGCCTTAAAACTCACACCAGGCGCGTGTGCGTGCGTGCCCAAGATCCCAAGAGGAGAATGGAGGAGAAGGGATTGTGGCGTGGCCATCCCCTCAGGGGGGTGATTTCTCGCTTTCTGTCTCTGTCTCTCTCTGTCTGTCTGGCAAGCGCACACACGCCCTATAGCAGAAAAAAAA